GCACCACCTCCGTCCAGTTGCCGGCGGCGGCGCCTGCGAGCCCCGCGCCCCAGGCGGCCACTGCTGCCCCCCCGACGCCCCGCGTCCCCAGTCGCCGTCGCCGCCCCGTCGCCGCCCGTCGTCTGGGCCTGTCTGCGGCTACGTAATTAACGTCGCCGTCGCCGGCCCGTCGCCGCCATACGAGCAATGCACCTCCTCGCGCTGTTGCACCAGCCAATCGCGTGCCTCGTCGGCTGCCCCGCGTCCCTGCGGCACCTCGGCCGCCGCGGACACCCCCCCGGGGCAGGCGGTCCCTCGGCCGCCGCCAGGCGGCCTTGGCCCCCTCGCGTCGTGAAAAATAGTCGCGACGGAGGCCTTTCGCTGCTGTCGGCCTCCGGGGGCCCTTGCTGAGCCTCGGGGCCGTGAAAAAACGACACCGGGCGAGAAACCGGTCCCTGGGAAGGGGTGCAGGCCTCTGGGGGGCCGACGTTTGTGGAAAAATCACGGCGTCGGGGGTCCGGGGGGCCCCACGGCCCCCGCAGGCAGCTCGGTGACCGTGGTGGCCGTCCTACACCGTACTGCAGCTGTTCCCCAGCACGCTCCTTGGGGCCACCGGTCGGCCGCATCTGCGGCCGAGGCGAATGTGGGCACTGCGCGGCACCATGCGTCGTTTTCTGATGACCTGCCAGAGTGACCTGTCGCCAACGAGCGGTCTTGCAAAGCGGCATCAAAAATGTGCCACCTCGACGAGACGGTGGGAGCAGCCCTTCGCACCGCCAGCCGCTGCCGCTGCCAGGCTCATCAGAGTGGCCATCGAGAGGGACCGCAAGAGTCGACGGGTCGCTGCGGTCGCCCCGAGGATCACCTCTACGGCACAACTGCGGATTGAGGCCACGACTCGGTGACGAGTGGAAGCATCGCAAAAGTCTCCCCTCCCCGTGGTTGCTGGGCGGGCTCCGCGGGAGCCAGCCACTGCGGCGCTTAGGCAGTTGTGTTGGTGTCTTTCGATGGGGGATTCTGACAGCGGGGGGCGTGGGGGCACGGCGTCTTCCACCCATCACCGTTTTCACGGGCAGTTGTTTTACAGGTGTGCCGCTGTGGCTGCTACTCATCTGTTTTCAACGCTGCCGGCTGATGCGGTGAACTTACACGCGACACCGCATACTCCCCAATCAGCGCTTGCACTTCGGGTTTCTGTTAATTCCCTACCTAGGCTCTGCCTCGAACGGTTCTTACTCTATGAGCTTAAAGGGCCGGGCAGTGTAAATCGCTCTGGGCGGTTCCCCCGGCATCCGCCCCGCGGTTCCCCCAGTTACGCCCTCTGGGTTCACCCAGCTTAGCTTAGCTTAGCTTAGCTTAGCGTAGCTTAGCTTAGCTTATCTCATATTAGCTTAGCTTAGCTTAGCTTAGCTTAGCTTAGCTGAGCTTAGCTTTGCCTAGCCTAGCTTAGCTTAGCCTAGCTTAGCTTATAGCATCTCATCTTAGCTTAACTTAGCATAGCTTAGCTTTGCTTGGCTGACCTTAGCTTAACTGAGCCTAGTCTAGCTTAGCTTAGCTTAGCTTAGCTTAGCTTAGCTTAGCTTAGCTTAGCGTAGCGTATTAGTTTAGCGCAGCATCAGCGCACAGCATAACATAGCATAGCCAAACATAGCATAGCCAAGCATAGCATCGCACAGCTCAGCATAGCATAACATAGCATAGCATAGCGCAGCATAGCATAGCATATCATAGGATAGCACTGCTTGGCATAGCACAGCGCAGCATAGCATATCATAGCATACAACAGCACAGCACAACATAGCATATCATAGCATAGCGCCAAGACGCAGCCTAGATGTAGGTGTAGGTGTGGATGTAGGTGTAGATGTATATGCATATGTAGATGTAGGTGTGGATGCAGGTATATACGTAGATGTAGATGTGAGTCTCGCTGTTGATGTTGATGTAGATGTAGATGCAGGTGTAGATGTAAATGTAGCTGTCGTTGTAGATGTAGATGCTGCTTTCCTAAATGCTCCAACTCCTAGTTAGGGTCGCACTGGGATAATCTTTTCTAGGGATCTGGGCCTGTCTGCCGCTCTGGCGGCTATGTAGTCGCCGTCGCCGCCTCGTCGCCGCCTCGTCGCCGCCCGTCGTCTGGGCCTGTCTGCCGCTCTGGCCGCTATGTAGTCGCCGTCGCCGCCCCGTCGCCGCCTCGTCGCCGCCCGTCGTCTGGGCCTGTCTCCCGCTCTGGCGGCTACGTAAAGTCGCCGTCGCCGCCCCGTTGCCGTTTTTCGAACAATCCACACCCACGCGCTGTAGCATCAGCCACTAGTTTGTACCTCTTCGACTGCCACATATCGTGCACAGCATAAAATGCAATTCGGAATTCACACTACACGAATCGCACAACCTATATTGCACCACATCTGTTGAATAAAATCGATTGCCCGACATATATAGCACAACATGTGTTGCACCACATTGATTGCTTCACGCGAATCTTCCTTTCGTTTGAAGCATATGTTCTACCACCCTTCCCCCCCGGACTTGTCGACTCCCCGGGAACCGATGCAAAACAAATATGATTCTGACCCACTGTCCATCCGACCTACGAACTCATACTATCCCAGCCAGGCCGGTATCGGTACCCCCCGCCATCCTCTGCAAAGAAACTATGCGCGCACACTCGTTTATCAACAATCATACGTTTCCGAGAGTCCTTTGCAAAAAAAGCGGGACGAAGTGCACACGCGCGCGTCGTCGCGCGCGCATGCCCGAAATTGTAAAAAACCTCTTGATTCCGTGGGGATTTCAAAATCGAGCCCAATTTTTGAATTAAATAAAAAAACAGCATGGTTTCGCAACGCGGATGTTCAGCAAAAGCGTGCGCGCTCTTGCGAATTCTTAACCAAACCATATGTATCTCAACATGTTCATCACATTTCATCACATGGCACCAGGCGGGCTTCGCGCGCGCGCATGTCGAAATCGGTCGAACGCCCTTGCGCGCGTGCTGGGGGGGGCACGACCCGTGTCAAATAATGCCATGCGGGCCACTATCGCGCGTCTGCCGCGCGCGCATTTCGATTTTTTCCCAAAGCCTTCCAAAACCTTCATCATCGACGCGAGGACGCTGTCATCGTCGTCGGCGTGATCAACATCAGCGCCGTCACTGGCTGCCCCGTCGTCGCTTTCAGCATCGTCACCAGCATCGCTACTATCATCGTCGTGTCTACCGTTGTCGACGTTGCCATGATGCCGCGCCCGCCTAAGTCGCCGACTCGCAGTGAAGTGCCCGCTGGCGTGTGCCGAGCGGTCAGCGCCACCGCATTCGCGTCGGTCGCGCCAAACTAGCTAGCCGCTGCGCGCGCGAGCATGCGCGGGCTGGTGCGGCCGCAGACATGCACCAGCCAACACCCAGCACTCATCGCAATCGTTCCTGCATGGGTTTTGCAATCCAAGTTGCGGGTGGGTGGGTGGGATGATTGCGCGAGCAGTGGAGTTGACAACTTCAAGTTCGGCAAGTGAATTGCACCACGTAGATCGCCCCAAATATGAGTACACAACATAAGGGGCATAACATCAATCCTATTGAACAAATAATATCTACCCCCCCGGGACTATCGACCCCAATATCGTATTGCCAATGTGCGTGCGATTCTGCCCCATCGCCCATCCAAAATATGAAGTCATACCATGCCAAGGCCGGCATCGCCCCCCCCGCCATCCTTTACAAAAATACTATGCGCGCGCACTCGCTTATCAAAAATCACAAGTGTCCGAAAATTCCGGGGAAAAAAAAACAGGACGATGTGCGCACGCGCGCGTCGCCGCGCGAGCATGCCGAAATCCGTCAAAAACCTTAGGTTTCGTAGGGAACTCAAAATCGAGTGTCCAACAATCGTGTAAACAAACACATGCATCGCGCGCGCGTGTCGGAATCGCTCCAATGCCCTTACGCGCATGCCGTCGCCAGAATGGTTTTCAGAAATGTTTTGAAGTGCGCGCGCGCGTCATCGCGCGCGCATGCCGAAATCTGGTTTTTTATGTTTAAAAAAACCTGCGGTGTCGTAGCCATTCCAAAACCGAATGTCAAAACATACAACAAAAACGGGCTTCGCAAGATCAGTTTTCAAAAAAACGTGCGCTTGCGTTCTTGCGAATTCTTCACAAAACCATCCGTGTTTTCAACATGTTCATTGAATTCGGCCAAACGGGCCTCTGGCGCCGCATGCCGGCATCATTCGCACGCCCTTGCGCGCGTGTTGGGGGGGCACGATCCGTGTCAAATAAATCCATGCGGGCCACTCTCGCGCGTCAGCTGCGCGCGCATGTCGAACTTTCCAACACCTTCATCACCGACGCGAGGACGCCGTCATCGTCGCCGGCGTGGCCAGCATCAGCGCCCGCACTGGCCGCGCCTTCGTCGGTGTCAACATCGTCACCAGCATCGCTACTAGCATCATCGTGTCAACCGTTGTCGACGTTGACATGATACCGCGCCCGCCCAAGCCGTCGACTCGCAGTGAAGTGCCCGCTGGCGTGTGCCGAGCGGTCAGCGCCACCGCATTCGCGTCGGAGGCGCCAAACTAGCTGGCCGCTGCGCGCGCGTGCATGTGCGAGCTAGCGAGGCCGCAGAGATGCACCAGCCAGCGCTAAGCATGCATCGCAATCGCCACCGCGTGGGATTTGCAAACCAAGTTGCGGGTGGGTGGGCGGGGTGTGTCCAAGAGCATGGGATGTGTCAACTCGTTTGTTAAAATGAATTCCACCACATATTTTGCACCACCTAGATGGCGTCCCGCAGATTGCTCCACGTCAATGTCACAACAAATATTGCGCCTCATGGATCGCACCACTTGTATTGCACAACATAGGTTGCACAGCACATACTGCGCAAAACCTATTGCTTGACATAAATTGCACCAAATTCACGATCCCACATACATTGCACAACGGGTAGTACTTTAATCCCATTGTTTGGAGCCCACACGGGCAAACATCTAATGTATACATATGTCGAGTAGCCAACTTACTCT